CCCCCCCCATGCAGAGTGCGTTTGTTCCTAATTGGCAGATCAATGACAATATTCTCATTGCACATGAGATCTTTCATGTAATGAGAAAAAAGAAAGGCAAATCTGGAACCATGGCTTGTAAAGTTGATATGGAAAAAGCTTACGACAGATTGGAGTGGAAGTATATAGAAGAAACCCTCAAGAAATTTGGGTTTCTTAGATGGATTTCTTGGGTTATGGAATGTATTACCTCTATCTCTTATCATATTTTAATTAATGGAATCCCAACAGAAGAATTTAAGCCTTCTAGAGGAATTAGACAAGGGGACCCTCTCTCTCCCTATATTTTTGTACTGTGTAATGAGGCTTTTATGAGAAAATTAATTAGAGGGGTTGATGATCTGGGTAATCCGATTGGCTGCAAAATTTCCAAAAGATGGCCCTACAATCCCAATTCTACAATTTGTAGGCGATTGTCTCATGTTCTCAAAAACCACCATATCGGCCTGTGTTAAAATCAAGGGGATCCTTGCTGGCTTTGCGGAAGCCTCTGGCCAAGCCCCAAATTTTGCAAAATCTATGGTCTGCTTCTCTAAGAATGTCTCTATCCAGAATTCTTAGTATCCCCATTGATAGCAATTCTTCCCACTATTTAGGGGCCCCTATAATTAATGGTAGGGTTACTATGGATACTTTTAAGAATATTAGTGAGAGGATACAGACTAGATTCGCTGGATGGAAAAAAAATCCCTCTCACTTGCTGGAAGGATCACTTTAATTAACTCCACCCTCAATGTTATGCCCCAATTCATTATGGGGTCCTTTAAGATGTCAGATGGAGTTATCTATGAAATAAACAGGGTTTAGAAAAATTTTCTGTGGACTAACTTAGAAGGCAAAAAGCCAATTCATCTCATCAACTGGAAAATAGTCTGTACCCCCAAAAAATGGGGTGGTATAGGAATTAGAAACCTTTATATCTCCTAATGAATAATAGGCTCCCCTCGAAACTCAATCTGGAAAGAAGGGGATTTACCATAAATACCTCTTGTTGTTTTTGTGGTGTAGAAGAGGACATTGATCATACCTTTAGGGTGTGTACTTTTGCTCATCAGGTTTGGCATTTAGTCCCCCCCCCCTCTCCTAATGGGCCGATCAATCAAAATATCAATATTTGGGAGTGGTGGGCTGGGCTATGTGAAAGTCAAGGCAGAGATGAGAACTTAATCTTGGAAAAAAATGCCTTTATGCTTTGGGTTTTGTGGAAATTTGTGGAAATGCAGAAACCAGAAAACTTTCTCTAATATTTTCAACTCCTCCCTCTTTGGTCATTAAGAGGGCTCTTGATCATTTAAATGACTTCTGGAGTAGTACTTAGTTTAAGCAAGTTGATAAACCTACCGAATCATGGCGGCAAGTCATTTGGAAGAGCCCCAAGAAGGGAACCATTAAAATTAATTTTGACGCCTCCTGTGTGGGTGGAAGTTGTTCTATTGCAAGCATTGCCAGAGACTTCTCCGGAAATGTTCTCGACATTAAAGGTTATAAATTGGGCTGCATCATCATCAACGTTGCAGAGGCTTAGGCTGCATGGGAAGCGCGTAACCTTGCACTTAACTTCAGAGACACCCCCATCATCATCGAAGGCGACTTGAAGCTAGTCATTTCTTGTCTGTAGCGGTCCACTTCCCCCCCCCCCCCTGTGGTGTTTAAGGAGCATAATTTCTAGCTTTAAGGAACTAGTGGATGCTTTCAACCTGCGGACATGTCTTCTGGGAGGCAAATCAAGCGGTGAATCTTTTAACTCACTTAGCGCTAGAGAACTTGGGGGACTCCCTCTCTCTTGACCCTTCTAATCTTCCCCCTAATTTGTCTCTCATTTGTTTTACGGACTAGTGGGGACGTGCTACCCCCTGGCTTGTGTAGCACATTTCGGTTTCCATAAAAAAAATCGGGGACTCTGTAGCTGCTGAAGATCACTTGCCAACTGGATCCAAGAATGATGGGCCTTTAAAGTCGAAGCTGACTTTGGGGCTTGACAGGCCCAACACTGTTTTAAATGGGCCAGAACCAATTATTCCAAGCCTTAAGCTGGCACGTGGTGACTTAAGAAAGCACGTGATTGAGGGAGCATCTCAGGTAGACAGGAAACAAGGTCTACCATCTTCTACCTTAAGCTCCTCCAGTCAGTTGAATAACCTTGCTCAAGTGAACTGTTCATTACAGTGGCTTCCTTCAAAGAAACTGGCTCGGCTTTCACCAGATCGTTTAATCCGAGATGCGTTAAGCGCAGCGAGATAGATAACCTGGAGCTGGAAATACTAACTGATGATGAAGAGCGCTCTGATTCGGACATTGAAGAAACTCTCAGTATGGGAAGTATAGATCTACAAAACTCGAAAGGTATCTTCGAGGAGGAAAGTTTGAACACTGAGTTGATGTTTCCAGAGGAGGTGCTGGATCCATGTGGCCTCGGCATCAAGGAACAGGTGTTTAATGTAGATCCCAACAACGACGAACAAAATTTCTCCCCTTTAGAACTTGTGTTGCATAAAGATCAGATGGACTTAGAAGCTCTTACTGAGGTTCGACGGAACTCACCTCATCTAATAAAAGAGCCCATTGCACTAAACCAGCCTACGCAGGTTATCAGGCCAGAGGAACGTAAATCAACTCTGACACCTAACACAAGGATACCAACAAAAGGAAAGGGTAGAGAGGTAACTTCGGTTGCAGGGGTGAACAAATTTTGGTTGAAACTAGTCCACTTCCACAATGGAATCAGGAACAAGGAAAGGTCTTGGGCTCGACCCTTGTAGATGGCACCTCACTTCACTCACTTCCATTAGGTTTAGGTATGGATGTCCATTTGTTTTCAGTTACTAATCTGGGTTCTCTGCCTGTAACAGATGTCCCAACATCACAACCAGAACAAGCAAGTGGTAGAAGGGGAGAGGAGAAGGAGAGTGTCGGGGTAGAAGTTGGGCAAGGGGTTTCTTTAGAAAAAAAGAGAAGAGGAGGAATTGGAAAGGATTTGGGAGCATATTTGTACTTTGTTGGAGGAATACAAACAGAAAGAGGAACTGAAGGAGGTAACCCCAAAGAATTTCAAACCGGATGCAAGTATCAATAAAATGGAGCAGAAGACAAGAAATAAAAAGCTTTCTAGGATGTCTGTGGACATTAAGGGTAGGAAAAAGAAGAAAACATCTGAAGTAGAGAGACTAATTTCAGATATCGAAAGGGATATTGAGTTCAACGGTAGAGGGGAGAGGAAGAAAGCCCCTAATTGATAGGAAGTTAATGTCCTTAAGGGCTTAAAGCGATATGATTCTATGAAGCTCATCAGTTGGAATGTAAGAGGGTTGGGAAGTGCTAGAAAAAGGAGATTAATTAAGGAGTTGGTTAGAAGAGAAAGACCTGATATTGTGGTGCTACAGGAGACCAAACTATCAGAATCAGATAGAAGGTGGGTTAGAGGGTTTTGGAGATAAAGAGGAGTGAATTGGTGTTCAACTCCCTCATGGGGAGCATTAGGGGAAATAGCAACTCTATGGAGAGAGGATGTTGTAGAGCCAATAGAGGAGCTCATAGGTAATTTCTCCGTATCCCTAAAATTTAGGATGGCGGAAGATGGTTTCACATGGCTGCTAACAAATGTATATGGGCCAAATAATTATAGAGAGAAAAATGAGTTATGGGAGGAGCATTATGGCATCCAAGGCCTATGAGAAGGCCCCTGGTGTCTAGGGGGGGACTTTAATGTAATAAGATTTACAACAGAGTCAAATAATCCTAGACAGCCCATTACAACTAGTATGAGGAAGTTTAATGATTTCATCAATTCCTATG